ATATAGAATAGTAAAAAAAAAAAAAAAAGAAATGGGGAGAAAATAAAATAAAACGAGGGTCTGTAACGATGGGGTTAAAATCCCTGGCCAAGTTTGAACGTTATCAGGGATTTAAACTTCATTACTTCAATGGGTTGGCAGCATCGGTGTAATCAGCTGTGAAAAGTTTACAGATTCTGCTCTTAACTATCTAACCTCGCTCGTTTCGTGAACTTCTTCAAAAACCAATTTCATCCTACATCGATATATATCACAATTATTGTATATATTTGAATATTTTTTTCTTTTATTTTTCTTTTTTTTTTTATGTTTTCTCTTAATCACATTATGAATCGTTTGCTGATCGATATTCGAATGAACTTATAATTTAAACATCATTGCAATATTATAAGCAAAACGTTTTCTAACATATTGAAATCATTATAGGAATTTTATCTGATTAATTAATTAATTAGATTTCTGCTTAATATCTTTTATTTGAAATTTATTCCTCCTTATCCTCGTTATTTGAATGTTTTAATATCTATTGATTTTATGTTATTCATAAGAATTTCAATTTCAAAGTTTGAAATAAAATTGTGATTTTGTCAAGATAAAAGTCTGATCCTTCGTCGAGTTAACGGAATATTTATGTAAAATGGATTGGTCAAATTTTATTTGAAAGTGGCAAAAGGAAGTAACTCTGACAATGAGATTGGAAACTTCGTGTGAAACTTTGTACAAATGTACAACTAACAGTAAGAACTATCATAGAGAGTAATAGTTTGGCATACTTGGAGAAGTTGATTTATGAGGTAACATTGAAATGCCATTCGTGACTTGTGCATTCTGCACTCTATATGATCAACATATTAACATCTATTCAACATTTAGATCTTTGTTCACTTTTCAAAATTTCTTTATCTATCAGTTAACTGTTTATTGTTGTTACAATAATTAATAATTGAAGACTAATATTATCAAATAAATATTAGATTAATATAAATTATTATTAATTAAATCAATTGCAAATCTTTGCAACATGATATAATTCATATTTTCTAATTTCACTAAGACAGTTTCAAAGTTAAATTAATTTTAAAGTTGTAATATCTTGAAACGTGTCAAGTTTTCACTTTAACATATTAAATACATTTCTCTATATTACATAATCTAAAAAATAGAAAATAAGAAAACAAAATTTAACGATCATTCCTTCTTCAATAATATTCTTTTAATTATAAATATTAATCGATCAAAGTATAAATTCTCATCGATCAATGATGTTTAATATTATCACATACAAAACCTCTCCTGGAATCTCATAAATCATACGAATTTTTCGACGTATAATCCAAGTTTACGATGTAATGCAAAACGACATGTGTACGACCCACTCTGCCGAAAAAGAGTATACAGTCAGTGAGAAAAGTTTCCATTTTTTTATAAAAAAAATTCGTCTGATTCAGATATTTCGATTTTAAAGATTCGCGTTTATTTTTTTCTCTCTCTCAAAATTTTTGGTTTCTAGAATCAAAATTCAAATTCCACACATATTAATACCCCGTATAATCCCATTACGCTCCGTTCAATTCCGTCCTTTAGTTTACATAACATTTCGATTTATTACTCGAATTTGCAATTGTATTGCAACACAAAAAAAAAAAAAAACTGTTGAAACGGACTGTGTTACACCGTAGTAAGAAAATTTATGAATATTCAATACGAAAGTAAAGCGTGTGATAACCATAAGCATCGATGATCACGAAACGATCTAGCCCCGGATTAAACGGATTTACCCTCCACTCTCGCGACTCTCTCTCTCTCTCTCTCAGCGAAGTATCGATGGCACTTCAATCGCGAAGCGACCTCTTCCCCCTCCTTACTCAAACTTAAAACGGTAATATTGTAAATGGAATAATTCAAGCTGGTCGTCATTAACTCGGTTATGCCGGTCGTTCACGCAGAGACCGTTATACAAATGCTTTGCCTGCCAGCATTGCCTTCTACAAATTGCGTTTCGTTCATCGAATTTCACGAAGCGCGAATTTCAATAATTAATCTCGCGGATACGCGGATTTTCGTTTCAAATGCGCGCGTTGTGGTAATAATTTAAATTGTTTCACGGGGGAGGAAAGGGGAGGGGATTGCCATTATTCTCCATCGAAACGTTGTGATCCGCAGAAGTGAATGGTAAATTACCAAGGAGCATTTAGACCGGTTATCGTATTACAATTAAGCATTTTATTGTTGTTATTGTTCCGGAGAGAGAGTGAGAGAGAGAGAGAGAGAGAGAGAGAGAGAGAGAGGTAGTGCGGTTGGCGCCGTTGATACCCCGCCTCGTAATATTATTCGATTATTTCGTTGCCTTTTGTTTATCATTTTGTTTGCAGCTTAATAATCCTCGGTGTTAATTATCTTTGAATGTTTATTCGATCATTTACGATCCGCTATTTATTATATTTTTGTTCGTATCGTAAATTTTTAATTCGTTGTTAAAGGAGAGATTTGAAACGATGATGAGTGATTTGGAAATTTTATCTATTTTTAGATAGTTTTCGTTATTAAAAAAGAGATTTGTTAAGATGATGAAAGATGTATATATATATATATAATATAATTAATAACTCTAATGGACATTATAAAAATTAATATTAAATTAAAATAAGGGATAACAACAATTATCACGTGGAAATTAATATTCATCGATACATACCGTTGAACGAGATACATTAGAATAATACTGCAACAAGCGCTGGAACGAAACACCTGAAGGGATATTTTGCTATCTATCGTTTGAAAATATCCTTCCTGAGGGAAAGTATTATTTCAAGGGTCTATGGTTTCCCTCGAGATACCGCAACGGGGGTGAATATCGTCGCGACAGTAAACACGAAAGGACGTGAAACGACAAACGTGGCCGATATTAAAATCCAAAGAAAAAGAAACGCCAGTGGCTGGATCGATATCGAATCAAACCGAGACGAGAGGAATTCCTTCTTCATTCTCGAGCAACACGATTTCTTCTCACGGGTAATAATATCTTTATCTCCAAGAGCATCCAAGAATGGATTATCCTACATAATGATTTTGATACATTAATATTTGCATAATCCACAATGAGTTATAAATTTGATTCTCTTGCAAAATTTGGAAATATTAGATCGAATAATAAATTCGCGAAAGAACGAAAATGAATTATATTAAGAAAGATATTACAATAATTAGAATTGTAATTTTTGTCGTAAATTATCTTACGCACATTTACGATATACTCGTATTAATGTCAACGAGCAATTTCCAATCTTATCTGAAATTCGATATTTACAAATATCGATATTAACAAAAATATGAAGATATACTAAAATCACGTAGCAAAATTACGAAACACTTTTAATCACGATGTAAAATATTTTTTCGATAAATAATCAATTAAATAACCAATTTCTCCTTCGAATACAAAATCGAAGAAATGAAACGAACCTTCTTCCATCAAACGTACGTAAACACACGTGTACACAAAAGTGATGCAACAACGTACCTCCCTCTTTCTCTCCCTCTCCCTTTCCCTCTCCCCTCCATCCAACTCCTCGAACGCGGAACGATCGAGTTTTTGCAAGTTGGAGCGGTGATTTAAAAAATTTCGAAAGCTACTCTACAAAGACAAACGAAGGAAAAAAGCGACGAGCGGAATTCGGGTTATCGGCGATCGTTTCAATTATGGAAGACGTTTCCGGGGACAGTGTGCGGGCTACGAACGGCATCGATCGATCGAGCCTGCATCCGGTGATCGAGGTCTAACATGAGGAACGTGAGTTGTGGATGCACGGCCGCCGGAAATCATCCAGGCACCGAAGAAAAAACCCGTTATGCTGAACGTCGTGGCACCCGGAAAGCTCATCCTAACCTTGCAATCGATACCACCGTTCGTCGTCGAGAGTATTTTCGCTTTGACGCTTGTCATCCTGTTGGCGGTACCCCTGATCCTTCGTTTCCAACACACTTTAGTACGTGTCTCTTTGATTAGGCTTAACGAGGATTTAACGCGTGGTTGGATCTTTCGCGTCTCTCTGACAGGTTTTCTTGGCGATTGATACTGTTCAGTCAGGGGATGGAACGAAATATAAATTCTTTTTCCGTTGCTATTCGTGATTTTTTTTTTTTAATAAGCGAATATTCGCTCTCTCTCTCTCTCTTTCTGTCTGGAAAACAACACGCGTTCCACAGTGATGGAATTCGAGAAGTAGTATACTAATTATTGGAGAAATTGTTGTTTATCGTGATCTGATTTTGTGGTAATTTGATCATTCCTTTTTTTATTTACTTTATTCTTTTCGTTTCGTTTTCTTCCCGATGAAATGATTTTTAATAGTCCATAGAAATTTAATCTCGATTCACAAAATTGCGCGTTACGTGAACGCTGTGAACACGAAGCGAATAGTGTTAATAATTAAAATTAATTATATCGAAATCGGATTGGAATATTAATTTCTGGATAAAGAGAATTTTAATAATTAATTATTAATCTAATTGACTATGTGTAATTATAAATCAATCGAATTTAATCGTTAATTCGTTACGTTTAATACGTGGAACATTCAAGTAGAATGAAATAAAATTAAATAAGAGATCGATTTATCGAAGACTCTAAATCTAACCTTAGCAACAACTTTAAAGCTTTACCGAAATAATTTCTTTCGCTTAATCCTCCCCATCCAATGATGTACCATACCCATTCCCCTTTACCAGAATTCATTACAGGACACGACCCAACATCTAATCCAATAAAAATTTCGCTTTTCTCGCATCCTTCGAATCTCCGTTTGCACACACCGTCGGAATATCGAATGCCCCCCACCACCAGGATGATTCGATCAAATTCAAGAAGACTTGGCCAACCCCTCTCTTCAGCCAACGCAAATTCGAGCAAAATCGCGACCATGTCGTGACCCATTATCCAGTCACCACGTTCGACTCCGACTCGAGTTCAAGCACGGATCTTTGCTTGGAATCGGCTCGTAAGACGATCTCGACGCCGATTTTGCAGGCGAGCGGTGACAACGTGAGAAACGATTACAGAAATGTGAGAAGCCGAGCGTACGTGAAAAATGCAAAGAAGAAAAGCGACTCGATGACGAAGAAGAACGACATTATCCTGAAACAATCGTCCTCGTTCATCGCAACCAACTCTGAATTACCGATCGTCGATATATCGGCGTTCGATTACGACGCGTACCGGTTCAAATTGGTAGAGACGGCACTTAGGAAGCAGTACAACAATTATCAGCCACCTGGCGACGTTGTCATGAATTCCATTCACTTGAACAACAACGATTCCACGATCGCTTTGAGACTGAACAATCAGTATCACCACAGCCTGTTCGACTTTGTGGAGGAATATTACGACGCGACCAAGGGTATGAGCAAAAAGGAAACCGAGTATTTGCATCCATTGGATCATTTTCTGATAAAGGGAACGCAGAAGCCGGAAACGGTGGAGAAGGAAACGGAAACGAAGCACGTGGAGATGGTCGATGTTGGTGGACAGGATGAAAGATCGCCCAAGATTTCGTTTTACGATGATACCGTTGTGGATGGCTCGATACAAAGGAGACAAGGTAACGGTGAATTGGTTGGAATTAGCAGGGTTTCGAAATCGTTTGGAATGGTGTTTCTGAAACGTTGAAAGATGGTGAACGATGGATCATATTGTATCGACGATTTCTTTTTTCTTTTTTTTACAATTCTTCTACTAAAATTTTTAAAAGACCGAGAAAATTCGTACCTTTAAAAAAGCAACCAATTCACCTAAAAATAATTCTCGCAAAAAAAAAAAAATCCTGTTGGAGTAACTATCAAATTCTTCGCACGAATTGTAGACTCGATCGTTAAGGGAGGCTTGAAATCGTCAAAACCGAGGCCATCGAGCGCGGGAGCCGACTCGACCACTTCGAGGATATCAACGTTGCCACGGTCCACGATCAAGAAGAGCGCGACGAAATTCTCCAGGACGAATTCGAGCACCGATTCGGGAAGCTCGAAGCGGGAAACGTTCTTCTTCAACTCGCACAGACGCGAGGACAAAATTCTGTCGTTCATCGACGGAGTCGAAAGGGAGTCGATGAATTGCTCGACGATCAGCTCGATCGACACCGAGAGCGTGCGCAGCATGTCGAGCAAGTATCGAGACATTCACTCTTCCCGCTCCCGCGATTCATCGATCGGCTCGAGGCCATGCGTCGCGGAGAAGCCGCACTTTGTTCCCTGGCTGGCCGGAAATACGGAGACATCGTTCAACAAGAAGTACGTGAACCCTGATAGGATATCGTTGAAGACGTCGGAAACGTGCAAGAGGAAGATGTCGAGGAAATTGAGCAACTCGTCCAAACATCAAACCAGCAAACCGTCCATTCAAAATAATTCGGGATGGGTCGATCAGATGGTGAAAAGTCTGCCCCAATTGGACAAGAATTCGGCCAAGGATGGGTTGAAGTTGGGTATTAAGAACGAAGAGGCGAGATCGAACAATCAAATTGGAAAACTGGAGGTGATCAAAAGCGAAACTGAAAAGTTGGCGAAGATCGATTTACCATCCGTAGGTAATTTGTCGGCGAGGAACGATTCGCTGACCCGTTCGCGCCGTTCCTCGATTAAGAATCCGTCCGAGGGGAGCTCGCCAAGGATGTACACGCGGAGAACGATCGATTCCTTGATGGAGATGGCGGGAGATTCCGGCGAGGAGACGAGATTAGCAGCGCAGACCAGGTCGAAGAGGGCTACGAGCGAGGATGAAAACGCGGAAGAGTGCTCGAGGAGGTTGTCGGGGAAACAGGAGCAGCCGGCTGAGAAACTCGGCAAAGTTTCGAGCGACAGGAAACAAGGCTCGCGAAACGTCAGCCCTGTGCTATTGGCGAAACAACAGTCTGCGCCGAAACCGGAACTTTCCATGGAATCGTTCCCCACGAAGGACGAGATTCGAGAAAACGTTCGCCAAACGGGTTTGGACAGGTTGAAGGGTAACGAGAAACGGAAAGAGACGTCGGAGATGAACGTGAAAACGGCGAAAGATGGTATTAAGAGGTGTCAGGATGGCCAACAGGCGAGGATGGGTCAAAATTCCCCTAGATCGAACGCGTACGAGAGGAGGAACACGGCCGACTCGTCGACGAGGAGCAAGGAAGAGGAGAAGACGAGCGAGGTTGGAGGTCGTAGGAAAGCTTCGAGCGTGATCAAGAATTTTGGTAAAAGCAGCGCGAACAAGATGCCCTCCGAAAAGATGAAAAGCTTGCATCAAAGGGCGACGGCTTCGAAATTGAACACCGGTTTTCACGATAACAGCGCTCGATCGATGCAGATCAACAAGTCGAGCAAGCCGTTAATGGGCGAGATGAAGTGTTCGAGGGTTGGGAAGGTGGAGAAAGTCGGATTCGAGTCGATTAGGATTCAAGAATTGAAGGAAGACGACTTGAAATTGCCGCGTCGTGACTCGAAGGCCGGCATAGCTATGCAGGCGGGATTGAAGAAGTATATCAAGAAGTTGAAACGGGTGTTGTCCGATCGCGACAACACGAATATCGGCGAGTTGGCCTCTTTGAGCCTTACCGACGCCATCTTGCCCGATCTTGAGTCGACGTTGTCGTCGGTCGAGGTCCAGGAGGTGCAGAATCTGTTGAACATGGCCGAGAAGAAGTCCGAGTTGTTGCAGAAGAATATTTCTGTATTGTGATATGTTTTCCTTTCACCCTCTCTACATGTATATATTTTTCTTTCTTTTAAGCGAAAACAATTTGTACCATACCGATGCCTCTCCCCCCTCCTCCTATATCGAATCGATCCGCAATCTTTTTTTAAAGCATTTTTTTGATATCCCTTCAAACGCTTACCATACGATTCCACTTGTTTTCACTTGAAGAAAACGCTCTGTATCCATCCATTTCATTGATATATATATTGCAATAATTATACAAAAATTATACATCTCTCGATTTGGCAACTTTTTGTGAAACAGACAATTTTATTTCTGTGAACGAATCTTTAAACTTTGATATAATGTAATTTGCTATAATATAGTTTGATGTAATAATATATAATTTCATTATATTTTAATTTATTAATTCTTATGCTGTTCTTTTTTTTTTTTTTTAAGATTAATAAATAAAAATATTTTGTTTTAAATTAAATCATAGTGAGGGTGTAACGAGTTCTCATAAATGAGAAATTGAACGTCTGGTTAAGAGAATATGGTCGAAAGGAAGTTGGAAGAGAATTTAGATAAAGGATGATCGAAAGGTCTTGCACCTGTTACCATTTTAATTAAGACATTTAGACAGTCGGGTTATAATTTATGATAATAATCTCGTGGTAAGTTCATAGCTGTTCTTCCTCAATGCATTAATGTAATGCAAGCATTAAATATTTATTTGTTCCTATTTTTAATTACAAATTTTAATACGTATAATTTTACGTTAACGTAAATATTTTCTCTTGTTTTCTATAAATAAGAAAACAAAGTAAGAAAATAATTATAAAAAGTCCTTTGAGAACTGTATTCGAATTTAATAACTTAAGATATTGTTCTTCCTGTAGGAATTAAAAATAAACAAATTTTTATTTTACCACGGAACCAACCAACAATTGTTTCTCGATTGTATTACGAATATACACACAGGATTTGATATTTTCCCTCTCTTTGTCTCTCAATTCTGGTTTTTTGAAAATTTCTATTTCACAGAATTCACAGAATGCATCGATAAATCGGATTTTTAAAAAAAGATTTCAACCTATTAAAAGAATTTTGCGTTTAATCTATTATACGAAATCTATAGTGTTGAACGAATTCGATTTAATCGAAAACAATTTATAAATAGAATTTTCTTATAGCTATTCTATATTTTTTCATAAAATTTCAAATGATTTTAAATAAGAACATTATTACTATTTATTTATTTTCAAATAATTTCAATATTTCGATACTACAATATATTAACAACGAATATGCAAAATTTATTACAATATTACAATATTAGAATAATACATTAATTAAAGAAATTGAAAATTCGAATCAAAAATAAATCGTATCTTTTAATAAGTTTAAAAACTACTATTAATATAATGTAATATGTAATATTGAGAATTATAACAATCCATCCATTATTTTATTAATTTCGAAAGAATCAAAGCAATGAACAATTAACATAACATATATTGTAACATAACAAACAAATATTATACCTAATTGTTAATATAATAAAAATAAGAATTGAATTAAAAAATATTGTTTCAAAAAACTTTTAAAATCCTTGCAATTTCAGAAAAAATTAATTTCACGTCTATAAATATATACTAACTTAATCTGAAAGATTGGGAACAAAATGACAAAAAATTCTAATTTAAAGTACTTCTGCGTGAATTTCATTCCTCGTCGTTAAATCTACGAGATTCGTTAAACGAGTCCAAGTATTCTTTTAGTGATTTATGCATTTCGTGTTGTCACCGTCAACTCGATGTGCCTGCTATTAATGCATAATAAGAAAAGAGAACGTCACTGATGACGAGACGTGAACTATCCACGAGACACATATACACACGAGCCAATTTTCCACGATGACACTAACTTGCGACCAATCTTTGTATCGTGATACTCTGCAATCTCGTTTAAGTTTTACGACACGGCACTTAACCGTTCAGGCTGACCCCGTGATTTTCTTTTAGCAATTCCCAGAAGTTTTGAGACCGGAAACGAGTCTCCTTGCTAAATGAGATATTCGAGATTTTGTTATAAACTAGGAAAAGTGAAGTGGAATTAAGATTTTACCTTCACGAAATTTTTAAAAATTTTTTTTAGAGAATAGTTGGAAACTTATAATTGTTCCATTATTTATTAAGTTGTTGCAATTAAATATAAGAACATTGAAACATTGTTCATTAGAAGCATTTAAAACCATTACAGGAAATTGTAATACTTCTGTGACTATAATTTTAACATTTAATCAAAAGTTAAAAAAAAAAATAATTTACTACATACTACTATTAAATGAAAATGAATGATTTTCGAAAAAGATCTTATTATAAACTATAAATAAACATAATAAATTATTACCAGTTCTCCAATGTACGATATAAATCACATGAAAAAAGATTATTGTAACAAACAGTAAATTCCTCGTTTTAAAAAATTCTTCAAATGACAATATTCAAAATGGGTTCACGTGAAACAATTTAGATACGTAACTGGTGCAAGCGGGCCGATTAAGAAAATGTGCCTCGAGATTCGAGTGACATTGATTAATATTCTCGCGCGCGGGCGCATTTACGGAAGTCGTGGAACAGCTGATTTATATTCCCATGTCCGGATGCAGTACGCAATTTCGCTTCAGAAGGGTTTACCACGGTGCTATTAACGATATTCGGGTCACGCGACTTCTTGCTGTCGGCATCGTCATCATAGTCGTCTCACGCCGACACTAGCGGTCTCTAGCGACATTGCAATTTCATCTTCCAGACCGGAAACTGCACGTTTTTCATCGATTACAAATAAAGGATAAGAGAACGGAGAACGGAGTTTATTCTTAGTGATTTTATGGTATAATATTTGATTGATGAAGAATAAAGTGAACTGAATTACAAGGAAATATAAAATAGAAAAATCATGAAGATTAAGTTTGGATTAAAGAGAGAATTTCATTAGGAATTAATTTTAATTAAGAAATTAATATATATAAGAAATATATTCTAGGTAAAATATTATATATGTTTTATAATATTTTTATATAAAATATTATATATTTTTATATAAAAATACAAAAAAGAAAAACTAAAAAATAAAAGTACGAGATGTTTATCGAAAAAGTAAAAAAAATAAGTATCTGTTTCTATAAATTCCACATAACACTGAACAAACTAATTTATCGATATCGATACATTTCTCTAAGTGCTATTACAGTAGCAAGAAGTTAATATCCTACATGTTCATGTAAGCTGGTTTCTATCTTTCCCTTGATAACAAACTGATGTCCAATTTTGTCTGATTTTATAATGGGAAAATATAATGTGAAAGGAGATTGTATATAAAACTTTTTTTGAATTTAATTCACTTATCTATTTTCATATTTATTTCTTTATGCTGTTGAATTTTTTTTTCCTATTATTTTTTAATAATTTTTTATAATCTAAAAAACTCTTTAGGAATGAAATAAATTAATTTTAATTTCTTTAAGGCAATTAGATAAATAAAATACTTCAAAATAACCATCAATTTATTTGAGATAATATTAATTTCTTTGAAACTTTCTTCATTTATATTTCTTAATTTACTCAAAACGATCTCCTAAAATAATTATTTATTTTGATATTATAAAGTTAATCTATATAAACTAAAATTAAAATTAATAAAACTCTTAATATTCATATATATTAAAAATATATATTTATCATTTTTATAAATTATTATTTCTCTTTATTTAATAAATAGAGCGATAACAAAAAGTTTAAATTAGAATATCTTTTTAACAATAATTTAAAAAATTAGATATATTTAAATATACCTTTTTATTTCTTCTTATTTCGTCTTATAATTTTTATTAGAAAATTATTAATTTAATTTTTTATCCTTTTCTTATTTTACATTTTTATTATTACTATAAAATTCCTAGAATTTCAAAACTCGGTCACATTTCAGAATTGATGTAATCGCATCACAAAGCCAATTGTGACAGGAATTCAGTATACCTTATGCATTAGATCATCTGGAAAAGTATTCTAATAGTTTGAACGGCGACGATAGGCACGATATTCTGTTCCACATCACGACATTTGTAACGCTATACACGAACTTACAAGAGATTGCTTCAGTTAAACTAACACTAGAAACTATCGATAAAGCTTGACAAGGCAATATCCATTTCCTAGTGTACCAATTGACTGTTAAGATCGCTTTTTGTCACAACTATCAATGAGTTGTTTATCACGTCGCTCGTTTGTCGATCAATAGATTTGCTCAAGATATAAGATAGAGTTGATATTTTATTTCTATACTTTAAAATATCGACCTCGAAAAGAAACAGAGTGTTTCTTACTTCATTCTATGTGTATTAATATATTAAAAAGCACATTTAATATTTATTTTAGAAAGAGGGAAAAAATTTTCTTTAAAAATATTGTATTTATACCTTCTTTATATTTATGACGCTAACACATTTATAAAACACTTCTGTGTAAAAGTTGATATACAAAAATGTTGGTTAAGGCTTATTTATTATACAATTTAAATTTACATTAGATGAAGATGGAAGTAAATTGAAACAATCTAGTTACATTAACTCCATCTCTCTTCATCTAACGCAAACTTAAATTGCTTATAACCCAATATACATAATAATAATTGCTTTATTAATCCCTTTACATAATAAACTATAAATTAAACAATAGATTAAACTCGAAAATAGAAACATCTTATTATGTAATTTAAATTGATCTCTAACTTCAGAAGGAAATAAAATATTTCTCTTTCCTGAAATATCATCCATCATAAAATTTATCATAAAAATATTCAACTCATTTGAAATTATTGTTTACTTTACCAGAATCAATAACCAACACAACTTTTCAATCTAACAAGTCAAAAATCTAACAAATAATTATATCTTCCTTACCAACCATCCCATTGCTGATGGAATGGGGGAAGCTTGATGAGCCACGACCTTGACTTAACCAACGTCTAGCTCAGACTATAGTCAGAATATCCAGCTTACCCAAATGATTCTGTTCACAGATCAGCACTCGAGACAGTATCAGCTTCAACAATTGCGCGAGCAACAGCAGCGACGTTCCTCGAGGACTGAGCAATCTTCACCAATGGCTCATTACGGTAGAGGCCGTGTCGAGACGAGAATATTGCCGCGGCGTAAATGCTGCGTGTAAAAGAATCGGCCACCGATTGTTCTTCCACCCAATAAAGCCGAAAGTAACTTAGCTATTGAAGAGAGAGCGGTCTGCATAAATTATGTCAAGAGTTCCTCTCGTCGAAAGAAGTGGGGGATAAG